TAGTAAATATTCTCCATCTACTTTATGCTAGATCAAAGTATTTAATTCAGGTCGTACAGCGTAGCTTATATCTAACATATTCATATATGTTTGTGAATTGTATATTCTTACGAGTTATAATAAATTGAAACACGTATTTTTGAATATATTTATAGGACTTATATGTCATATAGGAGTTGAAATCAAAATAATAGTTTACAATAATCTGCTTTCTTTTTTGTATATATGCTGATTCAGCTATCATTTTTTATATTTAGCTTCTGAAACGCAGTACAGTTTATAATTACCAAAAACTTGATTTGTTGCGAATAATTATATCAAAAATTAGTTGGAGATCTGCGTCAAATTCGAATGAAATAATCAAACGGTTCGAATCAAAAGTGTTGCTTATAACAACAACACCACAATATTATGTCACGAACAGAATAATACATTCAAGACATTCAAGATCGGCATAAAGAGAAATACTCAAACTGTCTTGGTAGTCACCGAAACGCTCCAACCTTTCTTTACGAAAAACCCTTATTTTACCATATTTGGAACGCGACATACACAATTGGTAGAAGAATATACTCTAACCAAAAACGAAGCATAATTCATATTGTAAGTTGTAAGTGAATGTCGTCAAAGATATTCTATCGTTTCGAAAAAAGTATTATTAACATACATCATACCTATTATAGTACCAGGGTCACTATTTATATTTTGAGCCTAATAATGATACTAATTTGCTTTATTGTTTCTCGAAGTATTCTCCCTTATATTAATACACTTTTGCATGCGTTCGAACAATTTGTCAAAGCATTTTTTTCAATCTTTTTCAGACACCTCCAGAACATGGTTTTTAAATGCGCAACAACGGATTCTGCTTCTTCCGCCGACAAAAATCGTTATCAACACAATTTATTCTTGACATTTGGGAACAAGAAGTCATTGTGTGTCAAATCAGTACCCAGTCTGTACAGCGGATCAATTCGATTTTTTGAATGCTCAAAAGGTCGGTTGTTAGAAGAGATATGTGAGCACTCACATTGTTTTGATGGAGTATGATCCGACAGCGCTTGCTTATTTTCCGCATTTTAAAAATGATAGCAAAATGATTGTGCAATATATTATATATGCTGGTGGTTATATATGCTGCTAGGGTTCCTTCAATCCCACAGTATGTCGTATGACGGTCTTACATTATCAATTTTTGCACAGCATCAATGTTTTCTGGTACAACAACTGATTTTAGACGACCTTCACGAATACGAAATTCGCCAGTGAGCAAACTGCGGCCAAATTTGTGAGATTTAAATCATTGCACCAGCGTTTCACAATGGCTGGTACGGAAGGATGGAGCTTCATCGTCAAATGTGAAAGTAAGGTGATCGATGCACTCTTGACGAAAGTCGTGGATTTTCTCGCGTTAATTCCATTTTTTCACGAATACTCAATTTATAAATCACTGTAAATACTCGTAACACAAATAACGCTCTTTTGACTAAAAGTCTAAAGTAGGCTATGTTTAATAATGTCAAACTTTCGTATGGTAACGTCAGACAACACCAAGGCTCAAAATATAAATAGTGACCCTCATATTCCTATTATAAACAAATACAATAAATGAGAATGTGCTAGATACATCCAAAGCGATGAATACAAAATCATAATAAGCTAAATTATTATATGGTTCTGTTTTTTGGAATTTGTTCATATTTTTACATTTTGATTGTCATTTCGTATATGTAACATGGTCCTCAATTTTTATTGTTATTATCACAATCAATTACCACTTTATTGTTGTTAATTGGTTTTCCCTTTTTTCTTTTATATATGTGTTTATTTTCTCCCTCTTGCTGAATAACTTTTCTTACTTTGCTTTGTTTCATCGCTATATAGCAAGAGATTTACGTTAATACCTCATGTGCATTATTTTACTCCATCAGTACCTAGAATATATAAAAACATTTCATAACAATTAAATTTTTAGTTATGGCATATTGACTATTTTTACAACGTATATCAGATCACTCTTAAAAGCGGAAAAAAATTGCGTATGTTCCAGAGTTCCTTTACCTGATCACGTTTGCATTGTAACAAAGTTCTCTATAGGTCTCAATCTAAAATCTGTATTGATGAAACTCTTCTCTCCCATGCAGAGAAAGCTGTGGTTGTCTAATCAAGGTTTTAAATGAAGTTAGTTTACTTTAATTGTATATAATATAGTGATTATTGCTTACAATAAATGATGAGTTTTTTTTATTGATCAAATTATATTGTAGTTTATTTTACCATTACTTACAAACAACACAGAGAAATATTTTTTTATTATTTATTTGACATCGTTGTTTTTTACTTATTGCACAAAGAGTTTTTTATAATAATTTTGAATAAAGCATAAATTACAATTTTAGTTTTTTGCTTATAATAAATAAATAATAATAACTTAATACCAAAAAATCTCATTTTTAATATAATTGATCATTTTAAATCAAATATTCAATTCTTGTAGAATTTGTAGCAATTTTCTTTAAGATTTACAATTTTATTGTATTCTTTGAAAAAAATAATAATAATACATAAAATATATAATTATAAAAATAAAAATAAGTTAAAGGAATGATAAATTCAATTCAAATAGTAAAGTTTAATATAATTTTTATATTGTTGCTAATTTGTTTTTGTTCGAAAATCTACACACATTTTTATATATAGTTATAAATTTTTTAACTACTAAGTTAATACAAAAGAATTTATTCTTCTATTCATTAAAGCTTCATATATCTAAAAAATATTTATATATATATAAAAATCATATATATTATATATTACGCTTATTAAATTATTTTTTATTGTTATTGGAGAAACAGCAAATAATTTTTAATTTCACTTTTCGGCATAAAAATTTGCAATTATGTTTAAAATTACAATAATTTCTTTTACGTTTATTTAAATATTACATCTAAGAGTACTTAAAATTTTTAAACATAATTTTTTGTATAAATTAAATGTGTGTATATTAATAAAAACTATTGTTTATTTTTTGTTAAAAAATTATGCGACGGTTTGCAATAGTAACATTTTTTGGTGTCATGTATGCACAGCGCTTAAAAGTATGCTACATATTTTAAAGAAAAATGTTATACACATGAATAAGTTCAATACTTTGTGATTGTTAATACTTAACGTTAGGAGGGGCGGCTAAAGAAACGCAATAAAATTAAAATAATAGATAAATAATACATTTGTATTGCATTTAAAGATAAATTTTTTTTGTCGCACATCGATATCATTCTCATTAAGATTATTCGAAATAAAAAAAAAATGTGATAAAAATAAAGTTGTGATAAAGTTATATTTTTTATTACATGATAAATTATTTAGGTGCGTAATAAGCCTTTTAGGATAAAACGTGATCTATATCAATAATGTATTAGAGAATTGTTTATAAAATTATTTATTAAATTTTACAGTAGATGTTCACAATTTATTATCACTTTTTTTAAAACAATTCTTATTACTGAACGTTATTGTTTTTTTATGAAACGTAAAAAAAATGCGACATAAACTTAAAAATATTATTTTTACTTAACACAATTACAGTAAATCTTTGTTTCGCACATAGTATTTCATGATGTTTGTAGTTTTGGGTTTATTTTTGATATAATGATATCCTTACATAAAACCGAAAAATGGGTTCGACATGCTTAGAGGGAAATAACTCACTCTTTTGGCACCATTTCATTAAGTTATGTATATTTTTAACAAACAAAGAAGGTCAATTAAAGAATAAACATAGTGATTACCCGTTTTCAATTTTATTTAGATTATTTACTTTATCAATTTTATTTTGCGTATGATTTATTATAAATTTAGATTCTGGGAGTTCTTATATTTGAACGTGCACTCTAATTACTTTTTAAAATTGATTAAGAAACTCAAAATTATATTGCCAATTGATCTTTATAATATATAATTTATTCATTATAGCATCCAATAAAAAAAATGAACGTATGTAATTTATACTACCATCTTTATAAAATGATTTATAAAAAGGTTAAAATTGTGTTGTATATATTGATAAAGTTTTGGCACTAGTTTAGAGATATTTTTGTGAACGAGTATGAAATGTATGTATATATTTATATATACAAGATATTTATAAATTTAACATTATTATGTGTATAACATTTTTACCCAACACCAATTTAAAGCATATAATTAAAATTTTAATTTTCATATTGCATATAAAACAAATTAACTAAAACTAATGTAAATAGTATTTCAGGTTTATGTATAAAGTTACATTTTTGTTTTTAAACTATTTTAAAATTTTATTCAATTAAATTCATTTACTAGTAATTTTATTATTTTTGCATATTACTTGATGTTAAATTGATAGAGCTACATCAACTGTTAAAAGCTTATAATTCAACGTTTTAAAATACATTTTTATTGTTATTTATTATGTAAATAATTTTATTTGTTAGTTTTGAATAGTTAATTTATATGTATTTCAAAGAATGTTTGCATATAACTTGAGTAATTAGTTACTATATAGTTTGTAAATGAACAGTCAAAAAAATAAAAAAAGTAAAGAATTACATTTGATTAGAATGAATTATTCAAAAATTTTAATTTAATTTAAAAAAAAAACAATAATTCTTGACAGTTTTTGAAATTTGTTTCTATTTTGCAGATTTAATGCAAACTATTGAGTAGACCTGAAGCAGTATTTATTAATAACAATAAATATTTATAAAACAAAAAAAATGTGTATATATTCCACTTTGAAATACATTTCGCAATAATACATATTAAATACATAATAGGCTTGTTATTTATAATCTATAATTCTATGTATTTAAATGTTAACATATCGTATATTTTTCGCATAATATAATTAATGTATATCACTTTTCTTAAACTATTTATTTAGACTACTCTAAGTGTAAATTATTTATTAGCAAATAGATAACTTTTAAACACATTCATTATCTTCCTCAGTGTAGTCAGTCTCACCAATTATCCATTCTCCTTCCTGTTCTTCAATTGAATTTTGTTGACTAAAATTTGAAGGTTCGCTGCTAGCTTGTGCTGTGCTGCTTGTTTATTTTATTAATTTATTTTTTAATTATGAAAAGAAATAAACACACTTATTAATTATATAAAATTGAAAAACTATTTAATTTATAAACTTTTTTAAAATGCATTTGTATAATAAATTATCAAAATTTTTAATGATTAAAAAGCGAAATTTCTTACTTTTGCAAACTAAAATGAATAACATTACAAGAATAATTAATTATTAAATCAAATTATTATATTAAATGAAAACAATATGTTAATTATTTTACCCAATATATAAAGCATTAAATATGTGTATGTGTATATGTGAAGATGTTATTATTAAAAATTTTTAGTACTGTGATAATGTTAGTATCATAAGACTTATTTTTAAAAGTTGCTATAAATTTCGTTTAAATATTTTAACATATCATACATAAAGATAGGTGAAGTTGAAAAATTTAGAAACGAAAATACTCCAGATAGAAAGGCGCTTAATTCGGTACCCGTTTGTGGAAAACGCAGTAGACAACGAAGGCGACATTACTGAGGGTATTAACCGCGACTTATCACAGCTCATATCTTTCAAAACCAACTAATAAATAATATATAGCAATTAATCCTCAAAAAAAAAAGTATTCATAGTGAAAGTTTATTTACAGAGTGCAGCTATTTTATAGTTCGCTTATTATTATTGATTTTTATTACTGATAAAACAAATAAAATAAAAATTTAATTATTAAATACGTTTACTTTCACATCTTTTACCTAATCTTACACTATTCAATCAGTTATTAACGTGTCTTGCAAAGTTCTCGCAGTTACTATAATCTAGCAATGTATCGAAACCGTAAGATTAGGAAAGATGGTTTTCTTAATAAGATATAAAAGCTTTTTTTAATCTTATAATAACTATAATTATAATTATAAATGAAATATTTCTTTTTAGTATGCACAAGAAATTAATTTTAATTCCATTTAAGGTATGAGGGAATAAAAAAAGAATGCATTTTGATTTGGATTAAGCTTTAATAACTAAACAAAGGAATTCTATTTGAGAAGTGAGCTTATTTATTTTTGCAAAATAACAACCTAATAAAGTTGCATTGCAGTGTATAATATGCTTATTAGAGCCACTTCACTTCCCTGACAATTAATCGAATCAATTTCTGTAGTGGATAAAAACACAAATAATTTATTCACTATTTTTAGTCACAAAAGCACAATTTGACTATTCTACTGCGACTCTTCAAGACTGTTTTCCGTCTTTCTAAGAAAAATTAGTCGAAGACCAGTTGAGAATTGGTAAGTTTATAGTAATGAATCTAAATTATCTGGCAGTGGTCATGGTTATAACAACCGTGTATATTGAATAATAAACAACATTTTTGCGAGTCGAAACTACCGCAGATTCCATCAAAATTATACGATAATTCATAAAAGATTAACCAACACTTAATTGTAAAATGTATAAAAATATTGAAATTAAAATTGAGGATATCAAAAAAAAAAAAAATTTGCCGCATTTTCACGGAATATTTATGCAAGGTTTGTTGCATTTAATTTGGCTGACTAGTTGTCAAACTCTTTTCTGTAAAAGAATTATTTCTCAACGTCAAATTTACAAAAATTAAAAAATAATGCAAAAACAATTTTAATTCTCTCAACTTTAAATGAATTGTATAATGATAAAATAATACTTCAATCTTTGTCTATATTAAAATATTAATAAAAATTAAAACCTTAAAAATATATATATCTATTTAAAATTATATAGGACAAACTATTAAATTAATTGCAACAAAATAAATTTTATAAAATCAATTGAATTTTCTTCCAACAACAATAGTTAGTCAGAGCTTCCTTTTATCCCAAGTAGGCTCTGTTTTGAAACTACATACCCAATCACGAAAATCTAATTTTATTTCTTAAAAAAAAGATATTTTTGGCATGTCTATTATTGCAATGTCTCAATCTTGCCAAACCTTGGTATTTGAAAAGCAAGTGTTCAGCTGTTTTTATCACTTCCACTCTGTAGCTCCTGCCTATCAGTTTGAAGGCGATATTTAATTTTTTGACATAGGGACCACTGATTATCAGTGACCTGTCAATACCGTTACAAGTTTTATTATTTCAGTCTTGGCTGTCTCCGAAAGTTCATTAATACTATATGAACTAATAAAACAAAAAAATTAGTTTTAAAGACTAATGATGATGATAGGTCGTTGCCAATATTCGATACGGCTGTATGGTTAACCTCAAAATTTAATTAATTAATAATATAATTTTTGTTGTTACAACTCATTAGTAGTTGAACTTTAAAAAAATTTTTTTATAAACTTAAAAAAACTAAAACTCCAAATTAAATTATTAAAAACAATATTAATATTTCATATTTTTATATACGAGTATATGAGCTACCGATACTGATTTATATCTCTTAAGTGAGTTTATAATTTAGAACTATGATTCGAGATTAGTACGTGAACTACATTACAATGAATGTGTTAGTGAAATATTAATAATGAAGCATTAACATTTGTAGTTAAATTGCAGACTATTTTGAATGAAAGGAAAAATGTATTCGATATGTATACGATAATTACAAGACAAGTTATTTAAATTATTTAAGCTGTCGCCAATATTTTTAAACTTCACAAAATAAACACAAACAGCATTGAAACAGTTAAACAATTGCAAATGCAGCAGAGCATTAACAAGACAATGCAAACATTTTTCGTAAATTTATAATGTTTAAACGCATACAAAGTATGAAAATATTAAAACAAAAAAAACCTTTTTAGCATGTTGCACCAAAATTCCCATAAATATATTCCAGTGAAGTCGTATATCGTATATCGTATCGAAATATCGTAATTGTTTATTTTGTATTTTCAAAAAATATATTTTGTTTAGTTTGGTAAATTAAATAACACTAACTTCTCTCCATTTAGCGTCTCAATCACCATTTAGTAAGTAAGCATTTCTAGTTAAATTCTCTAAAATTATATGCTTCAGGAGCTGCTGTTGACCTTTTTAGAGGTCGGTTATAAGCACTCCTTCAGGTCATAAGTATCCTCTGCGATAAAGGGATCGTGATGGTCTGTTATAGTTGTTGTGATGATTTGTGTATATCAATTATTAATATTTAAATTATTATAAAAGAAAATAATAATTATTAAAATTAAAATTAGTAAAAAGAATATATAAAAAATAAAACAAAAATAAATACGTAAAAAATAATATGTAAAATTATTAATTTTTTTTTTGTTTTGCTAACTGTTGTTTACCAATAATTTCTCTAAAAATTGCAGTTTAATAATACTAGTAAAAATTAAAATTAAAAATATTTGATATTTTAGAGAAATTCTACAATTTCGTCAATTTCTTATATAATTAGTTTCAAGCATATATTAAAAATCAGCAAAAAAAAACCATAAAATAATTTAATTTAAATAAAATATCTGTATAAAATGTATGGAAATATATTTGTATTTTTTGCTGGGCTTTAGGTAACTTGTTTTTTCTTTTTTAATTTTTTAACTATAATATAATATAACAAAAGGAAAACTTATTTTTTAATTTCAAACAAAATTAAAGCCGCGTGATTTGTTTATACAAATATTTGAATCTACGACGTAATTTTGTTTAAGATTAAAATTTTTTTCATACATTTTTTAAAAATTTAATAGTTACCTAAAGTGTGACAAAAAAAAATAAATACGTATAAATAATTTGGGTCGATAGCAATATATATGGAAATTACATTTTATTAATACAATCGTTCAGTACGTTTTTTTATTCTTGATTTACTAATATGTCGACTTTTCAAAAAAAATATTAATCAATCGTTCTGGCAGTATATGAATACCGTACTATAACAACTGTACTCTTATTAACTCAAGATATCTAGTTACAGAAAATTATTATTAATAAATTTTAGTTTCAGGCTAATTGGTCAACATTTTTTTATTGTGTTAAAAAATAAAAATTAAGAAAAACAAATCACAATGTAATTTTACAATAATTTTTATTTTATAGATATTTCGACTTTAGTATAAAGTCATCATCAGGGAACCCAATTGGCCTGAAAACACACTTTATTAAAATTGTTATTAATATATTAATATTAATAATAATAAGAAAATAAAATAAAATAAAATAATAATAAAATATAATACTAATAATAATATTAATATTTGAAAATTATTATCAATACTTTTTTTTAGCATTCTTATTACTGCCCACAAATCTGGGAGAAATGTGAAACAATATCAATGCTGTCAGTGGATAGTTCAGTTATATTTATTTTTGATCAATAAAGTGTAAGTGCGTAAGTAGATATTTGTTCCATGATTAGAAAAAATGTTCATCTTTATAGTATTACACATACATACTATAATAAGGCACAATTAACGTTAGAATATCCCTAACATTACTTTTTCAATAATATGGAATATATATATATATTATATATATATATGAGTACATGTATTTGCTTGAAATTCTGAATTATATTTTTCCTTTAAGTGAATGTTTAAATTAAAGTTATGCATAAAAATAATGCAAATAGTTTACGTGCTTATGTGATAAACTAATTAAAAGAAAAAAATCGCAAAATCGCACCCACTGTACCTTTTGCTTCGTATGCGATATCACATACTGAAAGTTTTTTCCAACTTCTTAGTAAAGTAATAAATAAAGTAGGAACTACAAAAAGAAATTTAAGTACAGTATAAAATAAATTGATAGTAAAATATATACGCCCACAACCGATTTTAGTTCACTGCAATTTATACAATTTCAATCAAATTATATATATAATTTTTAATTAAGAAACTTCTCCAGTTTATCAGACGGCAATAATGGATGGATTCAATGGATTTCTATTTCAATTATTATTTTATTAACACAAAAATAATTTATATGTAGAAAATAAATTTAATTTTTTTTTACTCCGTCTGATTAATTGTAAGTTTGTATTTTCTTGAACTAATTTCTTTGGTAAACCTTATTTAAGCAAAGATATGCTGTTTTTAACAACTACTTTTGTGCCTTCGCCATAACATATCTATTATTTCTTGCACTGTACCTTTCATAATTGAGTTCTCCACTATTTCTGGCCATTTTCTTAGCTTCTTCTTTACGGCGACGATCTTCGGCAGCAGCTTTCATTGGATCGTATGTAGCACGTCGCTTCCACATAGCTAATTCAGCTTCCTTTTGTTTTGTAACTTTAAAAAACAAAATTAAAATTAAATTTTAATTGTGAAAAAAAATTTACTCAATATGAATACCTGAAACATCTCTCCGCGCAGCAGACGATGCTCTAGCAGAACTCACAGAGTTATTGGTACTTGCTGTCATATTAGATGCTACCGATTTAACGCTACGGTTGCTCATGCGCGTTGGATCAGCACGATTCATTGATATTCCGGTGGCACTTGGACTACGTTTGATGGCATCAGTTTTTAAAGTACTTCTCGTATCATTTTTACGCAGAAAATTATTGCTTTGTGCTGGTTTATATTTTGAGATATCCATATATTTTGGTTGAACTCGTGTTGTTGTTGTTGTAGGTTTTGCAGTATTCGGCACCGCTGCAGCTGTTTGCAGCAACTGCTTTTTGGCTGATGCTAATGAATTTGGTACTTGTGTGGCTAAACGGCTTAAGCTGGTATCACGTGGCACTGATTGCCGTGATGTCATAGCACCGGTACGTGTAACAGCACTCTTAACATTACGTCTAGGTAACTCGGGTGTATTTGGGCAAGCGGCAACACCTGCACCGGTTAAAGCATTTCTTCCTTGCGCCGGCGCTGAAGTAGGTTTACCAGCAACCCTCTGTTTGCTACGCTCAATTCGCATTAGCAATGCTTTATTATAACGTGTATTAGTTAGTGGCACATTTTGGGTGTCTACAGGCGTGTCGGCAGTAGAGTGTACAAGTTCATCTGGTTCGTAATAGTTGTCGTCTATGCCCTGTCCATCCTCTCCATCACTATATCTGTAATATTCATCGCCAGCATCATCTTCATCATTTATGTAATATTGTAAATTGTCATCGTAATCACTGTACATGCGTCCAAAATTATTAGAACTTGCAGATTTGGTCATATGAGATGATGATACTGTTGGTCGAGAATTAGTAGAACCATTAGTATTAGTGGGTACATAATTGTTACGTAGTGCTGGCGGTGTATATATATTCTGGTATTGTGGACGTGCTGTACGTTGAGTAGCTATTTTTGTTGAAAACGAACTTGAACGACGAAGTGGTGAATCTTGATCGCTTTCTGTATTTGGAGTTTGAATATATTTTTCTTGTGCTTGCTTGGGCGAGTTACCAATAGTACCATCAAATGAGTTCTTTCGCATACGCATTTGTTTTACCAAATATTCACCACTGGTTAGTAAAGCTAACTGTTGTTCATTAATGCTGCTCGTCATCAACTGGTTACGTGCATTAATTTGTTGTTGATTATTACGCCTGTGTAAAGGCGAACGTTGCTGATAACCAGTTGTAGGTGAGTTATAACTATGCTCCGGACTAATCGCTTCCGGAGAGTATACTGAATTAGAAGAAGGCCGTGCTGAATATGCGCGTGGTGAACCAGATTGCGGTATAGATTTTAAGGAATTCTTACGTGATAAGGATTGTTGCAAGGTATTTATAGCTAATGCTGTATTTTGTAAGTAAATATCTTCATCATCAGCACACACAATATTCTGTAACGAACCACGTGGACGTGTTACACTACGTGCACGAGATAATGTATGCATCGGGGATGGTATTTTAGTGGGACTTTTAGGCGGTTTGTAGTTAACGTCTTGATTTATTTTAGAATATGTTGATAGAGTGGGATCACTGGTATAATCACAATCCGTAGCTACCCGTAAACGTTCCGCTAGCGTTTTGTTAAGCTTTGTATGTGACATATGTTTGCCAAGCAGCTTCTCATCGTTAACGCCGTCACTGCCAGAAGCACACGTATAACTGCGTGTCATAAGTTCCTGCGTATCTTGCTTACTGTGAGAGCCAGTATCATTAGCAAGGCTACGCGCACGCGCATTTCGCGCCCATTCTTTAATCCAATCATTTTTGGAACTTGCTGTTTTTAGAATGGCTGTATCAGATAATTCAACAGGTGATTCTGGCGGCGATTCTATGAGTTTACGAGTAGCTGCGAATTTCTGTGAATCCTTTTGATTAGTAAATACATTAAGACGATACGCAGCCTTCTGATGATCAGTAAAACCACCTTTTGCGTATGACGAAGCAGCGGGATTTTTCAATTTCGATTCGTTACTTATATACTCAGAAGAATCAATTTGAGAAGTGGATAGACATAGTCTTGCAGTCTTTGGTGTCGCTTCTAGTGTCGGTTGTTTAGCTAATACACCACTTGTAGTCACACTGGTAAAGCAGCCAACGTCTTCCTCTTCTGTAGATGTTTTCTGACTATTACTTACAGGGAACTTCTTATTTTTATGGCTACTAGATAGACTTATACCTCCCTCACAACTGCTACTGCTACTTAGAAAATCACCAGCACCATCTTTTTTCCCACCAACATTACGCAAAACTCTAGATTTCAGTTTCTCTAAATAATCACCAGCAGACTGGTGACTGCCTAGTAACAAATCGTTTGAAGTCGCAGAAGGATTTGAACGCTGCGCCTGTTCTGCTAATTCATGATAATAATTCACTTCCAGCACATTATTTGTGCGAGTACTCACATGAACTGGTATTTTAGTCGAACTAACTGTTGATTCGGGATTATGTCTACTAAGGTTTAGGTTTTTAGGGCGATTCTTATTTGTATCATCCCCACCACAGTCAATGTTCATAACTTCTTTTTGTTCCTCAGTGTAGTTATCACCATCAAGCGTATACGTGCCTGTTTCACTAACATTATCTGCATCGGCATCCGTATCTAAGCACCTATAATCACTTAATGGTGGTTGTGGGCACATAAAGTCAACTTTTTGCAGAGCCATTTGCATTGCAGTCGAACGTGGCGTGAAGTGTGTACGATTTGCAACCAAGTTCGAAGCCCCTTTCGGAACTTGTTGCGCTGCAGTTACCGTAGATTTACGGTTTGTGGTATTCTTTTTTGATGCTGGCGTTGCTGTTTTCGACGCTGTACTTACTGTTGATTGCGTTTGACTATTTAACGGTTCTTGTGTACTTGAACGGGGCGACCAACTGTGACGCTTTGAAGCATCTCGTACGCGAGAGGTACTACGATCGCGTGCACGCAGTTTTACCTTTGGTGGTGTTTCAATACTATCCTGAACTTGTCCATCATTTTCGTTATCTTCTCGATTCTTGACACTGCGCGGTGTTAAAGGGGACGCTGAAGTAGATGCAGTTATTGAAGTTGGACTCTCATTTGTAGTATTGTTTTCTATTTTCGACATTGAAGCACCTCTTCTATGCCTACTCTGAAAGCGTTCCAATAGACTTTTGTATTTTGCTGCTGCTGCAGCTGGATCACAATCTTTTTCACTAAAATTATCAATCGTAAAAGCGTACGACTGCTTGCTTGTTGTAGTGGTAATGGTGGAATTATTAGAGGCACTCGAAACGTCTTCAGGTGTTTCACATTTGCTTATGGCATTGTCCAGTTTGTGTTCATTACCATTGTCATCAGCTTCTTGTAGTGGCAATGATGAAGCCATAACGTTCGTATTTTCAACGCGCCTGTCTTTGTGAAGCGTATCTGAAAATAATGAAACAAATGCATAAAGTATAACATAAAAATCGTAACTATGTTTAAATTAACTGTTCATTACTATTATTAGGTGAAAACGAATTATGGCGGCAAACTTTTGCAATTATTATGAAAAAAAATGTAATTGTTGTTTTTGTTATTAGTTCACTTATTCGTTTACGCTACACAATTTTTCTGCTACTCACGGTTTTTTTTTTTATATCTTTTGCTCGTTGGTTGATGGCCAATATTTCTGAGTTTTGTTACACTTGTTATGCTTTGGGTTAATAAATAAAAGTGAAGGCTAAAGTTCGAGCGAAATTCAATAAGAAAGAAAATTAATTTTATTTATTATGAATAAAATCAAATATGTATAAATCGGCTAGAAAAAACCCATTTTTGGTAATTAAAGATTTTAAAAATATAATTAAAATTACGAGTTAAGTGGTATGAAGTGTAAATAGGTCTTAGATAGAATTTACGTCGAGAAGCATTAAAATGTTGGAAGTTTGACGTCTCTTTATACGACTATCTATTGAATTCCTAAGTTTTGGTAACAAGATACCAAAAATTAATGCTGTAAATAAAGACATTTGAAACATCGTCAATCTCTAGAAGTAGTGCTTCTTTTATATTCAACCAAAAAAACTAAAGAAGCAGGAACAAATCGATATAATTGCTTTAAACTCATTTAAACCTATTAAAAATAAAAATCTATTTTCAATACATTTTAAATACCTTTAAAACAACTTTAAATATTATATACAAAATATTTTATGAGACATCATTTTTAAGTAATGTATAAAATGCACAAAGAAAGATATGAATCTATTTAGAACTAGAATATTTAGTACAATTATGAGTTGCTTAGGATAATGACATGGATAAGGATAGGATAAAGTTCATGTAAGATCGCGCATTGTAATACAAATATCAACTCTTCTACTCAAAGACATCTATTGCCCATTGTAATATCATCAAAACTTCCAGGAAATGGTGAGCTAACAATGTTGTTATTGATTCAAAATTCATAAATTATTCTAGGTATAGCATTTATTCTACCGTTGTTAGAAGAAACGATCCCCTAGACATGTTATTGATTCAAAATTCATAAATTATTCTAGGTATAGCATTTATTCTACCGTTGTTAGAAGAAACGATCCCCTAGATCCCCATTCGTTCATTTGAAGTTCTGAACACAAACAACACATATCCAACAACACAACTCATACACAATCCACTTGCCTGAATATGACAGAGTTAAATACAGTAATACAATCCCCAGCTAACATATAAATTATAGGTGCTGAACCCAAAAGATCTTTTATTATTTTCTTATTTTACTGAAGTCAAAAGCTACCAACAACCTCATAGTTTAGTAATTAGTCTATAACTCATTCGTCGTAAGGTCTAAAAAATAATGCCTCTTTAATCTTCTAATTTCTATAGACGGGGTTTCTTGTCTAATTTCCATATATTCGGGAGATGATTACTTAGTTCTTAAAACGAAATAAATCCAAATGCAGAAAAAAGTATCCGGAAAAGACTTTCAGTTAATAAACCTGTAATATCTATAATTTATCAACATTTTGGAAAAAAAAAATGTTATTCTTTGTTTCTCGCAAACTCTTTCTAGTTTTCTACAACCATGAATAGTTAATTTGGCCTAAAACGTTTTAAATACAGTTGTTTTAAGTAATCGAATAACTTAATAAGTTCGAAAGGATAAATAAACTACAAGCGTTAAAATGAATTCATTAAACTAAAACAAGATGATATTGGTAAATAAGACGGTTTTTATCTAAAAAATTCGTTTTTATTTAAAAATTTGTTGAATCGTTGACTCAACCACTTTAATTTGTTATCAAAAAACCAAGCTTTTAAAGATATTTAGTCCAGCAATGTATCTATTCTACTTTGTATTAAATTGTATTAAAGAGGTAATAATTTCACTCTCTTGGAGGGAATCTATTCATGTCCTTTTCAAAAAATTCAAAAATATACTACGATATTTCCTTTACTGTGTTCATGACGATCAACGCAATTCTTTGCAATTTTTATGATGATTGGAAAAACATTTACAAAATAAAACCAAATAAAATACTTTTGAATTAAATCCAGCAAATCTACATATTTTTAAACGTTTATATTAGACGGAGCATGTATAAATAATATAATATAAAATAATATGTGTTCAAAAAGTACATATGCTGTTAGATAGCTAAATATATATATTCTTTCAGATTCAGTTTGATGAGAAATAAATAATTTAAACGAGAGAAAAAAAATATTCAAATTTTTTTTTGGCAGACCGAGCAATACGGTTTTATATGTCATAGACATTGTAAATGATAAAATGTGGTTTGTTATATGGAGCTAAATTTTATTGAGTCAATCTATGGACCAAAACGGATTATCAAACTACATCATAAGAACATAATACTTAGTGCAACAGTCAGGTCAGTTCCAATTGCAGTGACCTAATTAAAGTATCTGTAGCTGCTATTCAAAAGTGTTAGAAAAGTATTTTAGATGCGATCGCGTTTAGTAGATTTAACTGCACCATTGCCGATAATATTGTATATTATTTGAATTATCTGTACTTAGTTATTGCTTTTGTTACATGCGTCTATTGGGTGAAAGAATATAGTGTTGAAATCTAAAATATTTTTACTAAAAACCATCAAAAATGGTGATGTTGATGTAGTAGTGATTTCAGCATAGAAAAATGCAATTACAATGGAAAAATTTTTAAAAAGAAGTATATATATAATCTGAAGCCCTAACATGAGAAAAAGTACAATTGCAGTAATATATAATTTTGATTCAATAATAAAAAAAACTTATTGAACATATCAAATTTTTATATGAAATCTCAACATAACGTGTGATCTGAACATTTTGTCATTCGTTGCACTAAACCATAACTGTGCATTCAGTGTACAAAGTACTCGGAATTGTCAGCCGATGTAACTTTTCAGTTGCCATTTCATATTCAATTGACACCGTACAAGCAAATACGCAGAAAATGTAAGAAATTCTTGAATCAGTTTACGAAAAATGTAGAGGTTTGGGTCTAGACATAATTGTATTCAATACGATGGGGTCTACTTTAAAAGCCGTAAAATAAATTTTGATTGATGACTTTTTGTTGTTTTTTTGAATAATTTTAAATATTTTGTACACCGAATATATGTATGAATTTTAAAGTATTTATAATGTCTAGTTTGGTTGAGAAAATTGGAGGTTTGAGCACGAAAAGAAATAATCAAACTATTTTATACCAGCTTCTGGTTTACTGTATGTAAATATAATTATAATATCTTATAAATATTATGTAAATATTATTGAAATTTAAATTATATATACGAACAGAAATATTTTTCTCCAAAACACATATTGTCCCTATTTACATATTGCTAAATAATATATATTCAAGAATATTTATAAAAATCTACTTTAAACAGAAAACTACAAGCTGCAAAGCGATCTGAAAAAAATTTCGCAAAATATTTCAATGGATCTATTTAAGTTCTTAACAAGAACTGTATAAAAATAAAAGAACTTGACATTTTAAATTGAGTTCAATGGCCTATAGTTTTGATAAAAAAAAGTAGAAGAGATTTTGTACTAATCTGTGACGATATTTTGGGTATATTAATTTATACCATGCAATACAAAAGAGTACAATGTTTAGTTTAGATTTAATTCGAGGAACATTCTTATATTGCAGACATTTAATTAGAAGAAACAAAAGGCAAATAATTACCTGATGTTCAAAAGCCACTCAAATAATGCCAAAAGTCTTGCGTTTTACATTTTTTAAGTGAAATTTGACAAATTTTTGTAAAAAATTAATATAAAACAAAACACATAATTTGATTACTTACTACATATAAATTCTTCTTTATTTGCTTTCAGATGTTTGCCGCGATCTTCCTGAAACTTACTCTCACACTTATCTAAATGGCAAATTTTTTTTAAATATCCAAGCTTTTTAAAAATCACGTTCATAGAGTTAAAACGGAGAAATTATTTTATAAAATAAATAAACGATTATATATTTTATAATAATTGCTACGTGTATATAAAATGCCGAAAGTAAAATGTTACTTAATGATAATAAAAAAAATTTTGACGATACTAATTTTTGTTAATTTTATTTTGATTATATCATATTTTAATTTTGATTGACTACTGATATGAAAAAAAAAATTTTTTTTAAAGCCTACTTCTCAATTTTCGACTTTTATCTTCACATTGAATATATTAAATTAATATATTCCATGTAAAGATAAAAATCGAAAATTGAGAAACCTTGAAATAAAAGTTATGTAGACTATATAATTAATATTATTAATTATATTTATTGAAGTATAATAAAACATATTTAGTTGAATGCTAAAAATATATCAATATATAATATTACTTAGATTTTACTTTAAAGAAGTTCTACGAATATAACCAAAAATACTCTATGTTCTCTAAGAGAAAACAAGACAAAAATCGGAAATTGGAAAAAAATGTAGTCATATAGCCCTGTTAACAACAGAACTTAAGATGCTGTACCAAAAGTTTACAAGTTCCATAACTTTATTCTATATAATACATATTATTTATTTACTACAAACAAATACAAGAAATTACTTAATTAGCCACTGGGCTAAGTGGACATCGAAACACTATCCTTTCAATAACATTACATCTAAATTATGTAGTAAATTGTGGAGTAAAAATGGATCTTATGTAGAGCAGAATAAATACTACATCGGAGACAAATAAAATTTTTCAAAACACAGAAATATTTTTCGTTAATTTGATAAACATTAAAAATAAATAAATAAGAATTTAATAATTCTTATCAAAAGTATTTCTTCGCAGATAATTAATGATTTTTTTAAGAAATATTACTTTTTATAAAAATCTAAAGAATTCTACATTTTGTTTTGTAATTTTAGATGTATTTATCAGAAGATTTATATTGTGCGCAAAATATTGCATGCCACATA